CTCTCTCTCTCTCTCTCTCTCTCTCTCTCTCTCTCTCTCTCTCTCTCCTCTTCCTGGTCTATCTCCACATGAACAGTCTCTGGCAGCCACTCCCACCACAAGGACTGAGGGTCTCCACTATGATTTCCCTGACAGCCTGGCTGAAAACCTTCAGAAATCATGAAGCAAAGTATGCCTCTCCTCCCTGAGGCTATTGCTGCTGGATATTTTGGTCACAAGACACAAAAGAAACAAACCTTTCTCTTATTCCAGATTTCTAATCTCACATCCATAACTGCTTCTTGTGTAGCCTTCTGGAAGACTTCAATGTGCACAAAACCACAGATGCATTTCTTCTACCACAAACGAGATCACAAACTGTCTGACCATTTCTTTCTACCCATGCTCTGGACTTCTTACTAGTATACACTAATGCCCCCCCCCATTGTGTATGCACGAGTGTGCACTAGGACTTGAACCCAGGCCTTCAGAGCTTCTAGGCAATGACTCTTTCATGAAGCTACATGCCAGCATTATTTCATTCTTTTTAATGGCTATAGAACATTCTATTAACAATGATTTCATTAACCTCTTCAATATGTATCATTACTATTTTCAATTAGTTTTCTGGTTCTGAAAATACTGCAGTTAATATCATTGAACACAGTTATTTATGAATACATTTGTGTAGGGGCATAAAGGGCTTCGTGCTCACAGACATGCGCTATGGGAACCTAAAACTTTAAGCACATAGAATTGTTCCTTCAAGAGAAGGAATGCAAAATGTGCTGTCTGCCCAGAAGGTTGAAGCAGATGTGCATTCTAGCTGGCTGGCTTTGGCACAATCTGTGCGGCTGGAGACCTTCCAGAGCCTGACTCCCCTTCCAGACCCTTCTTGTAAACTTGTTTTTCTTGGTTGGTCAATCTGTAGAGCCTATCTGTATGGAAGGTGTCATGTACTTTACAGAGTTTCATTGCAGTCACGGCTGAACTATATTTAGCTTACTCTGTTCCTCAGAGATTCAGGTACACTTTGTTGTGCATGCAGGATTGAGTTAGTTAATACAGAAATAGTTTTCACCATATTGTGCTGTGTTTAAATACACCAAAAGAACTACTGGTGGTCAGATTGCCCAAGTTTGAATGACCGCTGGCCACTGAGTTATACTGTGCCTTTTGCTCCCCACAGCTTGTCTCTGCTACCCCCCCCCAAGGTGGGAGAGACCCCTCACACATCTGGAAGAAGACAAAGCTGGAAAGGTAGCAGCTGAATGCAAACATCTGCTGTTGTTTGTCTGTTGTTGTTTGTTGTTGTTGAGAGGGGTGGAATTATTAGCTTGCTCAGCTGGAGGACCTCAGGCTCTTTACTCATCTCTCCTTCTTCACTAACTACGGATGGATCTTTAAACACTTTATGTCTTAACTTGCAGTATTTATTAACTAAAGAGTCAAAGATAGCCCCATTAACTCAATGGTTTCTACAGATATTTTCTGTATAACTTGATTATTTTAGTCTTCATCCCATATACTACTATGAGGCATTTGAAAGGACAACATTTAATAGTTTATGTAATATGTTTTAAAATAGAAATAATACAGTCTCCCATAATATCATAAAACACTATTTTAGTTATCAGTATCTAAGCCACCACCCCCCACTTCCCACCACCACCACCACCCCCAAAGCTATAATACCTGAAAGTATTTCATTTCATGTGTTTTAATCCACATTTTCCTAATTCACCTTTAGGTTGAAAATACTCATGTCAACATGCTAGCGAAGCTCCTTTATTAAAAGCAGCTGCAATGCTTTCTCTTTAGAAAATGAAGTTCTATAAACAGCTGTAAGCAGCAATTGAAAGGTAAGCAACCACCAGTCACTTCACCGGAGTCCCCTCAGAGTGAGATCAAGACACTTCCAAGAACAAGACACCAAGCCCTAAATCAAATCTGTCTAGAGAGAATACACATCTGTCTGTCAGCGACACATGATCTCTCTTTCCATGTTGAAAGTCAATTTCCCACAGCCCTGGAGTAGTCAGTCATAGGCCTGAGCTTGCCTGGTCAATGTAAAATGCTGTGCCAGCTCGGATCTCCCGGCGCTGTTTGAGGTCAGTTTCGGTGGTGTCCCTTGACAGAGCGATGTATTCCACCTCTCGTTTGGTCAGCTCCTGTAGAACACAGAGCTAAGTTATTCCAGAGCTAAAATCAAACTACTAGCCTACAATTTAGAACAACATGTTCAACAAAGCCACTGCCTAGAGAAGAGCACTGTGACTGTTAGTTATGGATTCAAAATGTTTTCAGTCTTTGAGAAAAATTCAATAAGCTGGATACTAAAACATACATATGCGCTGGGTGGTGGTGGCACACGCCTTTAATCCCAGCACTTGGGAGGCAGAGGCAGGTGGATTTCTGAGTTCGAGGCCAGCCTGGTCTACAAAGTGAGTTCCAGGATAGCCAGGGCTACACAGAGAAACCCTGTCTCGAAAAACCAAAACAAACAAACAAACAAACACAAAACAACACAAAACAAACAAACAAACAAACAAAAACATTCACATGCCAGGAATGTGGCCCACACCTCTCATCCCAGCACTTGGAAGGCAGAAGTAGGTGATCGATGTGAATTCAAGGCCAGCCTGGTCTACAGAGCAAGTTCCAGGCCAGTCAGGGATACATAGGAGACACTGTCTCAAAACTTCCCACTCAAAACAAAAACAAAGCACACACACACTGCACGCACACACATCATTAGAGCTCCATTTTTAGTATATTCCACCCTACTACTTAAGTAATAAGAAATCAAAATTTAATTCTTCAAGCCTTAATTTATCCTATTAAATTCTTTTACAAATATGAATAGTTATTGGGCAATTTTCCAACAAGTCATAACAAATTTTTGTAAGGAATATTTATCTTTTTAAAAAAGTGTGGTTTTAATTCATTTACTCAATTGACCAAGGTTTAGCAACTGAAAACTATATCATTGTTAGATGCCTTACCAAGTGTAAAACAAGAAAAAAACAGCTGGAGAAGATGAAAAGAGCAAGAGGAAGAGGAGGAAGAGGAAGCCAAAAAAAGGAAGAGAAGAAAAAACTATTCTGTGATGTGAGGAAAAGGTGGCATCCAAATCCATCCCATCTCAGAACAGTTTACCTGCCCATAAAGCATCTTGCCCTAATCTCACAGCCAAGTGACACCTTGGCTTTTACAACAGTGAACTAAGAACAGGGACAGTCTCCAATCACATAAGGATCTAGTAACCTTAACTAATCATAGGGATCAATTTACATAAGGAGAAAAGAGAAAGTTGACAGAGCATGTCATTGCTGAAAAAGGAGGCTTTCACAGAAGACCGTGTTTCCTGCAACTTAACCCTGTCTTAGATGGATAAACAATACTTTATTGTCTTTCAGCTCTTTCAGATTTCTTTGTTCAGACTGCCATAGTTTGGAGTATAATGAGAACGAGGCCAAAGTTTTCAATAGAGAAGATGCACAGTCATAAAGATGTGATAATATCAAATGATGCTTTCCTAAATAGAAACGAATCGTCTGACTATGAAAGCCAATTCTTCAGTAAAATAATTTTCTCCTTTTAGCAGATACCTGCTTTCTGATTTCAGAATACATCACAGATAACAAACATCATGTCTGCTTCTTTGATTGGTTGAATGTAACCTCCCTCCCTGGAAAACCTTTCATGCACAGTGACTGCCAAAACTGTATGTGCCATTTTTATTTTTTGTTTTTTTTTTAAATGATTTACCTATTTTTATATTTCATGCATTGGTGTTTTGTCTGCATGTGTGTCGGATCTCCTAGAACTGGAGTTAGAGCCAGTTGTGAGCTGTCACATGGATGCTGGGAGTTGAAACAGGATCCTCTGGAACAGCAGTCAGCACTCTATCCCACTGAGCTCTCTCTCCAGTACCATGGTTTTTGGTTTTTCAAAACAGGATTTCTCTTTGTAACGTTGGTTGTCTGGAACTCACTCTGTAGACCAGGCTAGCCTCAAACTCAAAAATCCTCCTGTCCCTGCCTTCTGAGTGCTGGAATAAAAGGTGTGCACCACCATGCCTGGCACCCCTTATTACCAAAGAGCACCATAGTTTACCTTGAACTGCACACTGAGGACAGTGCTGTCACTCTCCTCAGTCTTGATAGCCTCCTCCTCAGCCAAGCACCAGCCTCTTCAGGAACTACTTCAGGAAAGAAGCAAGCAAGCTCACACAGCACCAGGAGAAGGCAGCAGATGGAATTGTCTTAAACAATCTACAATCTCCTTTAATATGAGTTAAAAACAGCAAATATCAAGTGTCTCTATTTAATTTTTATTTGTTTTAGCAAGCTTACCCCCAAGACAGTATCTACTCAGGACATTACCAACTGAAGTTTCTCATATCCAGTGACAACAGTATTCACTACAGAGTACAAGGTGGCGGGGTAGCACTGAATCTCCACAAGTACATTTAAATGGTAGGGTAGCACTGAGTTTTCATATATGTTTGGCTACCTTGGATCTATTTTACCATTTAAAGTTTGGTCATAGTAGTCATGTGACTTCACACTCATAGACTTACATTGCATTTTTTTTTAAAGATTTATTTATTTATTTTATTATGAGTACACTGTAGCTGTCTTCGGACACACCAGAAGAGGGCATCCAATTTCACTATGGATGGTTGTGAGCCACCATGTGGTTGCTGGGATTTGAACTCAGGACCTCTGGAAGAGCAGTCAGTGCTCTTAACCGCTGAGCCATCTCTCCAGCCCCCATTGCATTTTTTTTTTTTATCTCCCTAAAATCCCTAAAATTTCCTAGGGACATTCATTTCAGAATTCGAACAACATCAAAGCCCACCAAAAAACAAAATCTCAATGAGATATCACAGTCTTTGAAATGAGTAAGGCAAAGAATCCCAAGTAGTTGGTCCCCCGTTCCTAGACAAGACACATATGCCTTGTGTACTCACTAAGGCTAATGCTTCGGAGGGAGGTTACACCTCACAAACTGATTCTGGACATGAATTAAAGATGCAGAAGTTCTGGGCCAGTGAGAATTATGCTCTGATTTGTGGCTTTACTTTTGTCACGCCTGTCTCACATATACTCTGAAGTTCTAAAGTAAACCGAGGGCCAGAGAGAGAGCTTGGCAGTTAAGAGCACTCTCTGCTCTTACAGAGGACTGAAGTTTCACAATCTCCTGTAAACCAGCTCCAGATCTGATGCATCTTCTGGCCTCAGGGAGCATTCACATACGTGTGACTCACACAAAAAGTAAATGTTTTTAAAAATAAAAAATAAACTAAATGTGCCACTGAGGTAAAATATAATAAAACCGATTTCAATAGCATGAAAATCAATTCTTCAATAATAAATAACACAAGCAGATTTTAACAAGGGTGTTTTTCCTCCATTCTATAAAGTTGTCTTCAGAGGTCATTTGTGCTTGGATAAAGAGCACAATCCCTCTTAATGGAGGATAACAGAACGGCCTTGTAAACATCCTGACAGGCATTGAGAACAGAAGATATCAAGTCACTTAATAACACTGGTCTAAGAACAAGTATTATTCAAAAGAACACCATGTCAAAGAGGTAAAATGGGGGAGGGGTTTCAAGTCTAACTATATAATTTTCTAGATAGATAAAGATTAAGTAGATCACTCAATCTTTGTTCATTTGTTTTCTAATCTACTTAAACAGGAGGAAAAACAGTATGTAGCTATGACATTTAAAATGCCCTATAAGTCGGGTTCCCTCTGAAAACCACACAACTTCAAAACATCAAAAAGCACTGTTTTTTTTTTAAGTTGTAAACCCAAGAAAAGGAAAAGTTCACTGAGTGGCAAAGTAAAGGCTAGGGGAGAGGCAGACATGTTGGCTTTTACAATCTCAGAGTTGCTGATTCTATGTACTCACTACTGACTGCCTTGGGTTGTATTTCTTTTCTACTAATGTGGAAGGCATTCTAGTTACTACAACAACAACAACAAAACTATGCTGCACCTGGGCTTCCCAAACAATGTCTGCTGAGTCCTTTATGAACGAGGCATTGGCTGATGACAGCAATATCCTAATAACACAGCTAAGTCTGATATTTGTATAAATTCGTCTTTCATTTACTTTATTCTATCCTTTATCAAAGTTAAAAACCCTAAGGAACTGACAAGGAATGATTGCTCACCAAGTACTGCATAGCAACAGAGCGGCGAAGAGGCCCAGGAGGTCCTATGAGAAAGACATCTTGCCCCAGCAGATCCTTCTGCATTATCCATCTCAGATGCTGGACTACGGACTGAGCTGGAGATTCTGAAACTTTGAGAAAAAGAAAGAAAATGAAATGCAAATTTAACTGTTATAACTTTACTATATAACTATATAAATCTCCAAATAATGTGAACTGTATATATGGAAAATATGCATTTGTATAGGATGAATGGATGATAGATAGATGATAGATAGATGATAGATAGATAGATAGATAGATAGATAGGATAGATAGATAGAAAATATTTGGCAAAAATTCAGTTTTATATGAAAATTATCAATGCTAAAACAGAAAAAATATCAAACAGACATCAAAGGGTCATACATCTAACACTTCAAAGTCCACAAGAACACCGGGATAATCATCTGTAGGTGTCTTTAAAGAACGAAAATGCTTCTTATGGATGAGTCCAAAACTAGGGTCATTATTTTATCAGTTTCAAAACCTAACCAATTTATTCTAAAAGGAGACATAGCCAAATGATCTCAGACAACTAATGATGGTTACAGATATGAAAAGCTGGAGTCTGCTCTAATCTCAAACGCCAATGCTTGGAAGACCCCCCCCAAAGGAATCTGTAATTCCAGTCCACTCTTCTACACCATTTGTTGCATGATCATTTCCTAGGATGCTGGAAACAAATGTCTACTCACACAGATAGAACAAAAAGAATAAATCCATCCAAGTCTAGTTTGAACTAATGAGTGTACTGGGCTTCTTTACTGGAAGATGGGTGTTAAGATTCTTATAGGAATGTGAGGGGGAGTGGAAAGGAAGGCAGGGGAGGAGAAAGAGATAGAAAAGTCTTACTTATTCCAAACAACACAAAAGAGAGGAGAATGGACAAAATGCACATAATAGTTGTGTAACAACAAACTGAATAAACTATCACAAAAGTTGAGGATCCTTAACATGAAGATTTTTGAAATGCTCCCAAATGTGCTATGTTCTGAGTGCCCAAGTTACACCACAGAGAGAAATTCTACACCCAAGCTCATGTAACAAGTAATTGTCAAAATGCAAAGGCACTAAAAATATCTCTTGAAACTATCTTTAAGCTGTATGTATGTAAGGTACATAAAATGGAAATGACCTGGGGCCCATCCCCAAGGTATCTTACTATAATACAAGTGTTAAGGCCTGGGTAACCAGTGCCTGTCTAATCTTACAGTGGCTACTTTGTCTTATGCCTGCGCCAGCCGTCTTATGCTGTTACAAGGGAACTTTCTCATGTCTGAGTTGAACAAATCTGTTATGTTCTATGCTTTGGTGGCCTTGGAAACTCCTCAAACCCTCGCCTTACATTAGAACCAATCACAGTAAAATTTAAGTCCCCAAGACTTCCCTGGATAACTGATATCCTGGTTGGCAAGTTGAGACATGAACGCTAGGCAAGTTGCCTATCACAGTTGAATAACCCAACCAGTGGGAACAGGATAAATGCACCACAAGACATGTTCCTAAAGAAGTCCCCATCCCTAAATCCTGGTTGATGGGATAACTTGGCACAGATGTTTGTGGATTTCACGTTTAAAAGCTCGCAGGCAAGAATGCTTGGGGTCAGTCTCAGCTCCCAAGTCTGACCTTGTCCCTGATCAATCAGTCCCGAGGTGTGTGTTCAATAAACTATTCCTGTTTGCTGAAAATCCGTGTCTATGTGGTTTTGGGATGTTTTCTGGGCCCCAACAACAAGCAAATATTCAATAAAATTTTAAGTGAAATTCATTTAATGGTTATTCCCAACAATATGTCAAACCCTTTATGATATGTAACTGAGTGAAAAAAATAATCATATATACTGTATTGATAAAGCTCAGCCCATTAGTGAGTTCTTTAGAAATACATACATACATACATACATACATACATACATACATACATACATA